ATCGACCAAGGATAATTGAATATTTTCAATAATAATTTAATAAATTTATTTCAATTTGCAAAGTAAATTATTTTGTCATGAAATTTTTATTAAAGTCTTTCATTTTAAACAATTAAATTTCAGTTACAAATTTTTCTTGAATAATAATATTTTTCAATATTAACGTACTCTGTTGTTGATATATTACATGTAACAAGTCGAGTCATTTTAACTGAGAATAGATACCGTTTAGTTAATTATTAATAACCAGTTCTTCTAGTCAGGATTTTCAGGATAATTTTCCGTGTTCGTTGCCTAAGCTGATGCACATGCCCAGGTGTTATTTGCATGAGCGAAGGCAACGGGGCACGATGACTTTATTTATAATTTATAATAATATTGGCGACTGACATTGGTTAGCGAATCGTGCGCGACGTACTGTCCACATGTGTGTGTTGTGGTTAGGTTGTGGAAGTGCGTCGTTTAAACAATTCACTACAATTCTCTAGATTTCTATTAACTGCAACATTCAATTTTTACTTATCAATTTATCAAATTAATTATCGATTTTGCTATTTATGTATTCGTTTCCATACACGATAATTCTAGTAATTCGTACTAGAATAAAAAATACAATATACTTGATGAATGACTTTGTATTATATTAAATTATATAAAGATTTTATATTATATTAAAATGTTATCTATAATATTAATACGCAATGGTCGCTAGCCTTTGTCAGACGATTCCAGAATCTGGTATGTACATTTAGAGTATGAATGAGTCAGTTGTGTCCGGGTGTCGGAGGAACCCCGGGGAGTCCTCTCTAGTTTAGGTCGCGCCCGGACATTGTGAATGAGAACCGTGGAGTGTTTGTTTGAGAGACTGAGTTTTGCAATTTTTTAAATATAGGGTTAGGTAGGTAGGTAACTTATTCTCTGGTGTGTGTGTTTAAATCTAAGTAGGTAGGGTCAGGGCAGGACTGTCCACATTAGTAATTCGGGTAGGCGCGTTTTCGCGTGGCAGTCCTGTTCCTGTAGTTACGATTTCGAGAGTAGAAATCTTGCTGATTCAAACGGTGTATGCTGTTTGTTTCGGCTTTATTTTCGACTCCTCGAATCGCGCGACTCTTAAAGTCGCTCTTTCGCGCTCGCGGTCGTGATTAGGTCCCTTTCGAAACGCTCGTCCCGCTCGAGATGACCACGTTGCTCTTTCAACAATTCGTATATTGTTGGAAGACTACGTATTGCACGAAATCTCGAGCTCAGTCTTAAGTAAGTTTCAGGCTTCGGCAGGACCGCCGAAGAAAGAAAAGGCTCTCAATGAGCTGAAGAGGCCCTGACAAACTGTCTCAAGAGTGGGCTGCAACGAATGGCTTTTCATCTTCATGTTTGGATGAGGATGGAAAGTCATTACTGTTACTACTTTGTCACTTAACTCGTCTGTAGTTGTAGTTAGTTTATTTTTCTGGCTGGCTCACGTATGCATGTACCTGATGGTACATGATTGCACCATACATGCCAGCCATCCCTCCCCATAACTCGCGGTTATGATGTACATAGAGTTGCGAATATCCAATAATCGCGTTTGCTTGTAGAGTTGCGAATCACTGTTTTTCGCGTTTCCTTTTCAGGGTAGTGTTGCGCCTTGACACGATACGCGATTGGTTTTTTGCAAACTTAGGTACCGAATGTTTGCTTTAAAAATAGCGTTGCGAATAATTCATAAACGCGATTGCACGTAGAGTTGCGAATTACTATTTTTCGCGTTTGCTTTTCAGGGTAGCGTTGCGAATAATCACGATTCGCGTTGCTTTTTTACTCTTTTATATATATAATAATGGATGTCAACCGCGTTTGTAATTTTCACGTTATAAATTAGCGTTGCGATTTTGATTAATCGTGCGATTTTTTATTTAGCGTTGCGATATTTTCAATGCCCAAATTCTACCCCAATTGTAGTACTAGTAGTAGTTAGCTTATTTTGTGGCCAGTACATGTCTATGTACATGTACCAATAGCCCCTGATTAAAGTTAGAGTTGCGAATAATATACAATATCCGCGTTTGCTCGTAGAGTTGCGACTAAATATTTATCGCGTTGATATATTAGTGTTGCTTATAAACACGATTCGCGTTTCTTTTATGCAAACTTAGGAACCGGGAGTTTGCTTTAAAAATAGCGTCGCGAATTATTAGTGAACGCGATTGCTATTAGAGTTGCGTATTACCATCTTTCGCGTTTGCTTTTCAGGATAGCGTTGCGAATAATTACCATTCGCGGTTGCTTTTATTGTTACAAATCGCATTTGGAATTTTTCTATTATAAATTAGCGTTGCGATTGTTGATTTATCGCGTTGCTTTCCCCGTAGTGTTGCGATATTTAAAACATCTAAATTCTTCCTCACATATGCCACTGTAGTTAATAGTAGTTTGCAGTAGATAGTCTATTTTATGCATGTGTATTTGTATCTACACGGAAGACACCATCACCAGGTCCAGCAGTTTTGGGCAAAACGTGATTTTTATTAGAGTTGCGAGACATAGATATATTTTCACTAAAGATAGAGTCGCGAATACACAATAATCGCGTTTGATTGTAGAGTTGCGAATTCCTATTTTTCGCGTTTTCTTTTCAGGGCAGTGTTGCGAATTCCATACGCGATTGATTTTATTGTTATTTAAAAATAGTGTCGCGAATGCACTGATCGGTTTGCTCTTAGCGTTGCGAATTACTATTTTTCGCGTTTGCTTTTCAGGGTAGTGTCGCGAATAATCACCATTCGCGGTTGCTTTTATTCTTATAAATCGCGTTTGGAATTTTTCTATTATAAATTAGCGTTGCGATCTTGATTTATCGCGTTTGAATTAATTAGAGTTGCGATTCATTGCCCAAAATTTGACGCTGGCCACTGCTGCTCCAAAATCAAGACGCAGCTGATTCAACAAAGCCTCAAAAGGCTCAACGAAATTATTAAAATTAGTGTTGCGTATGATTGTACATAGGTGCACGCGATATAATTAATAAAACAACCCATTGTGGTTTATTTTACGTATAATAAGCACCATTCGCGTATACTTTTCTATTTTATAAATTAGCGTTGCGAAAGAAAGCCACTCACGGGTTGTTTTCTGAATTTTTGAGTGGATAATTTATTGTAACTATGTAAAATATATCTTTTTTTTATATGTATATTTATTAATGGAAATACTGCTCAAAAGTACTGTTGTTTATAGATGAAATTGTTTCATTTTCCATAACGTGTACGTAATTTTTATGAATTCATAATTTCTATGTATTTATACGTTTCTATCACAGAGTTGTGATGTATTTAAAAATTGATCATAGATTAAATTTACGATTCCGATATACTATATATCAGCAATTATTCATTATTAGAGTTGTTCATTTTTACGGGGTACAGTAACCTTTCCGGCTGCAATATTTATTTATAAATAGTGGATTTTTTTTATAAATATTCCGAATTCTTTGCATAGATTAAAGTTTGTTCGCGATCATTTTTTTAATTGATGAAAAATAAAATGCTTGCTTGAAAAGTGTATGCAAATTACAATTCTACATTTCATATTGAGAGTCAATTACCGCGTAGAATCGACATTTGTGTTCGTTGTTGCATTTTTGTACGAACCTAACTTAATTCTCAATGCAATAAAATATAATTATTGCAATTCATACGTTTTGAAAATTTTGTTCTATAAAATCTATCTTAACACTGATATGAATTTAACTTTTCTTAATACTTAATATGTATATTTCTAAATTTTGTTATATGAATTTTTACGCGTGGAAAGTCTAATTTAAATATTAATTTCATATCAATTTTTCTATGATCAATGATCTTCTATTGATAGTATATAATTATTTTTTTTTTTGTGTGCACTAATCCATTTTCATTTCAGCTGCTAATACTTTGAATAAGTTTTTTTTACAGAGTATGGACGAATGAGATTGGAATTGGTACATGGATTCGAATCGTTTTCTTCTTAGTCTCTTTTAAGGAAATATCTATTTATACAATTTTATTTATTGTCTGAGTTTATGTTTCAGGGAAACATCGTGGGATTAACAAGAACACCAAGAAGAAACTATTTTATCATATTTGGTTGTTTTAAATGAATTATATTTTAGGAAAACATCGTGGGATTAACAAGAACACCAAGAAGAAAATATTTCATCATATTTCTTCATGTTTCTACAGATTGCGTTAGAATATAAGCATAAATGTATATCGATTGTAAGATTATAATTAAGCAAATATGCGGCATCGTATTCGATACTACCCGATCTAAGCGTACATTTAAGTGGGAATGATTAGTATTTAAGGTACATATTGGTATTCTATTAAGCTGGGTTCATAAGTGCAGTTGCACATTTCGTTCGTCAGTGTCTTATTAGGCACTATTCAAATACCATCGTTCATTTAAGTAGGATCATTCAATATCAGGGTACATATTGGTATCCTAATAGGGTTCGTTCATGCAGTTGTACTTTTCTATTTCGTTCTTAGAAAACATGTGGATCCTCTCACATGAATCGACATTTTGTTAGGTTTTTGATCACTCTATCAGGTTTTTCTTCTAAATACTCTCTTCTTCTTGTTGAAATACTCAATAGATGTTAGGATTCCTCGCCAAAGGAGGGTGGTTGGGGCGAGGCTGGGGTGGGTCTCCATTCGCAGCAACCTCCACGCGGTGAGACCTGGGTCATTATTATTTAGTATGTAATTAATTCTTTATAATGTAATTATTAATTGCATAGTAAATAATATGAGCTAATGGCTGCGACCTTCCTCGTATAGTTTAGTATAAATATAGCTTCTTCATCAGATCCAAAGCGATCAATATTTCGATCGCTTATCAAATCGTAATTCTCGTAGCTGATAGCGTTGCAGTCTTATTCCATTCTGAGTCGGTAACTTTGGAATTGACATCGAAATGGTAAGAAGGCTAAACAGTGTTTCTCAACTCTTTTTGTGAGAGTCCACGGTCTGGCATCTCGAATACGTCTGTGGTATAATTTTCCATGATTCAACGACGGAGTAAACATTTTGAAGTATTCGAATTTCTGTTAATACAAATCGATGTTCGGTATATATAAACGAAGTAAATATTTCATTCATTTAGGTAATTGAATGCTTTGTCAAAGTATAGTACAAATATTAGAAACATTGTTTTCTCACAATTTCTACAAGCAATAACCTAACAAAGAGACATAACATAACCTAATTTAACAAGTGATATTGTAATTTATCTTAAAATAAAATTATAAATATGGATAAATCGATCTTAATGCAAAAGCAAGTGAAAGATAATGCAGAGGATTTGCAAAAAGAATTTCTTGACATAAAAAATTGGGAAGAACAAATGAAAAGCAAAGATGAGGAGCTAAGGAATCAAAGAAGCGAACAGGTATAACTTATCAGTAAAAATTGTTAATAATATATTTCATTTTAATTAAGGTTATATTTTTATAGACTTCTTTACCTCCGATTAGAAGCAAAAATAAGAGTAAAACAAAATTTACTCCTACAAAACAAAATGGATCTGATATTAAACCGAAAAGAATTAAATCATACGATTACTCCGCTTGGGATAAATTTGACATAGTAAGGCTTATATTACGTTTTAGAAATTGAGACAATTTATAGAATATTTATCCTTGCATAAAATTAACAAACATTAATTACATTTAATGTTATAAAGGATGAAGCATGTAAAGAAGTAAATAAAACAGAGCAATCAGATAGTTCTGAGGATGAAGTTATGTCTAAAGAAGAATTAGAAAAGGCACACAGAGTGGGAACAAAATATAAAAATCAAGGCAATATTTTTGTACAGCAACAAAAATGGGCAGAAGCGATTAAAAGTTATAATCAAGCTATAAAAGCTTTTCCGTACGATGCTATATTTTATGCAAATCGTGCGCTCTGCCAATTAAAATTAGATAAGTAAGTTTTCCTTTTTTAATATAGTATATGATGAACAGTTTGTTTAATTTTTTATGCAAACCACAACAAAAGTTTTAAAGTGATACTAAGTTGTATATATTTTTAGCTGTTGTTCCGCAGAATCAGATTGTTCTGCAGCAATACAATTGGATGCAACTTATGTGAAAGCTTATCATAGAAGAGCAACAGCTAGAATAAACTTAAAACAATACAAGGAAGCTAAGCAAGACTTAGAAAATGTCTTAAAATTGGAACCTTCTAATAAAGAGGCAAAGGTATTACTTGCTGAAATCGAAAAGAAGATGAAAGTCTTAGATGTAAGTAATAAATAAAGAAGTACAAGGTGTTACTGGACGGGTCCGCGGTGTTCTGCAGGGAGGGAGAATTTATTAAAAGTCTCGTCAATGTTTCACATTTATAATTACGATGATCAATCGCCTCCTGACCGCTGGTACCATCCGTCCGGTAACTCCCTGTATAGTTGAATTATAAAACATATTATTTAATAATGTCACTTTATATAGTCGATTATCACATTAAAAGAGGATGCAAAGAAATTATCTGAAGATACACCAATTGAAAAACTGATTGGTGAAAAAATGTGGTCCAGTACTAAAACAGATATTAAAGATGTTAAAGAAAGTAAAGAGGTGGGGAAAGATATTAGTATGAAGATGGAAAGAGATGAAAAAGATAAAGGTAGTAAGAATCTGAAACATGTTAAAGAAGAAAATGTCTTAAAATTGGAACCTTCTAATAAAGAGGCAAAGGTATTACTTGCTGAAATCGAAAAGAAGATGAAAGTCTTAGATGTAAGTAATAAATAAAGAAGTACAAGGTGTTACTGGACGGGTCCGCGGTGTTCTGCAGGGAGGGAGAATTTATTAAAAGTCTCGTCAATGTTTCACATTTATAATTACGATGATCAATCGCCTCCTGCCCGCTGGTACCATCCGTCCGGTAACTCCCTGTATAGTTGAATTATAAAACATATTATTTAATAATGTCACTTTATATAGTCGATTATCACATTAAAAGAGGATGCAAAGAAATTATCTGAAGATACACCAATTGAAAAACTGATTGGTGAAAAAATGTGGTCCAGTACTAAAACAGATATTAAAGATGTTAAAGAAAGTAAAGAGGTGGGGAAAGATATTAGTATGAAGATGGAAAGAGATGAAAAAGATAAAGGTAGTAAGAATCTGAAACATGTTAAAGAAGATATAGTACCTGGCATACAAAATATTGCTACAGCATATAATAAAAGAGATCCACGTATTCCTACTTGGTTACCAGAGAAAGATGATGTTGTTGTAATAGAACCTATTGAAAAGCCGCCTCACTTACGTTCGAAGGTACGATTACGCAATTGCGGGTGACCATGATGAATCCTTAAAGTACTAATTATTTATAGAAGTTGCTAACAAGAATACCCGTTGAAGAAGTAGAATTTATTAATATTCAGCATGACCAAAAGAATGACGGAACTACATCTAATGAACATGAATCTGTACAGTTAAAGGAAAATTTTGGAGATTGTCCAAATATTCCAATTTCTTTACCAGAGAAAGACGATGTTGTAACAGAATCAATTGATAAGTCTTCTCACTTAAACTTGAAGGCAAGATTACATAATTTAGCAACTGAGTACACTAAACAACATGAATTTAGTTTTGCAATGTCTGCTGAATGATACTTGTAGAGTTTTTCATTCTGGAATCTGGATGAGTTTTTGTAAAAAGACATAACTTTTTAAAAAATGATGTACATATTATGCGCAATCTAAAAATGGAAATTTTACTGAATTTATTATTGTGTACTTTTCAAAAATTGTATAGTTTTGAATGGTTGTACATGGATATCGAAATTTAAAAAAAAGCCAATGCTCGTATTTTTGCGTGTCACTTTTAAACACTGGCAGTAATAGAGCAATTCTACTCATGAATTCGTGTTTAATACAAGAAACTTTACGAGAGACATCCAGTAAATATTGCAAAATATAAAAAAGAACTTTATTTGTTAGGCATGGTTATTATGGGTGTTTAAAATGCCTATTATATATATAGGAGTTGGAAACGGGAGTAGTAGTTGAAGAAACAGTATTTAATAAATATGAACATGCAGAGTTAAAGGAAATTAGTGCAGATGAGAAATCTAAAAATGAAAGTTCTATTAAGGATTCTAAATCTGTAGAAAATACTAACAATATACCACCAGTTCCTAAAACAGCCGTACAATTTGTAACGAATTGGAAAGCAAATAAATCGTCAGAATTTAGGTATAAATATTTAAAGGTAAGAATGGAATGACCAATATTGACATTTTTTAATATTATATCTATATTTTTCAATGTAATTAAATAATTGAATTTCAGCAATTGCCCAAGAATAGTTTGTCCAAAATATTTCAAGACTCTATGGAATCTGATATCTTTAACGACATATTGAAAGTTTTATGGCTAGAATTTATAAAAAGAAAGGAGTCTATATTTTCATATTTAAAAGATCTTAGCGAAGTTAAACGATTTAGAGCTCTCATTATGTTCATTAGCAACAACGAAAAACAATGTAGGAATTATTATACTAAATCTAAAGTAATTTTAAATATTAAAAGTACTACTTTCTCTTTTATATGATTTATTTAAAATTTGTAGGTTTAAGGGTGCTTTTTGAACATTGCAAAACGATCGAGAATATATCACAAGAAGAACTTACAGCTTTGCAAGAGAAATATGAAATTTGACAAGAAATGGATATTATGCATTCAAGACCATAAAAAATATTTCTAAGTTGTAAAAAAGGTTGTTTAAGTTATGTGTTTTGTACGTATATTTTTATTTAGCTAAGAAGGAATAAATAAATAAGATCATTATAATAATTTTGTTATTGTTTATATTAAACTATGTGTTGCATATTTGTTATTTTACATATGTACACAATCTAAATACAAGCTTGAAAGATGTAGTGATCATAACAGAAAGGTTAAAATATATGAATAAAAGAAAAATACTTTCATTGTATAGAAATGAAACTTAAACGTGACCGTTCAATAATGTTTGTATCCTTTGATCATTCTTCATTATTTGTGATTTTGCTTGACATATTTTATTTAATTGTATTTGCATATTATGATCGATTTCCTTCAACGTTTCCTTCATAGGTTCTATTAAATCTTGTGTTTTTCTGAAAGTATACGAATTTATTATACACATATATAATACATAACTTTTAATAACTGAACAATTCTGAACAAAAATTCATACATGTTTTCCATTTTTAATTGTGCGTTTACTTGTTGATACTGATTTCTCCATTCCATTAACTCTTTTTGCATAATTTCTACATCTTCCTGCAAGGATGGTATAATTTACATCGTAGATGTAGCAACAGTATTGCAAAATATAGTAATGTAAACTAAAAATAATATACCTGAAAGTAATCTAATAATTTTCCAAGTGGATTTGTTGCACGTGTTAAAGTTTGTATTGTATTACGAAGTTTGTCAATTTCCTTTGTAACTATATCACGCTTTGAGTTTGTATCCCACGCCTAATAACAGACTTATACTTCATATTATAAATAAATGATGGTGCAACAAGTAATACATTATAAATTAATGAAAATGTTCTTACAATATTCGTCTTTTTAGGTATCACATCTACATTCTCATTATTAACCAATTCTTTCTGAGTTTCCAATATTTGAGCAACAAGATGTCCATGTTCTTGTGTTAATTGATCATCCACTTTATAGGTACTATTATTGTCTAAGGAATCATCACCTCCTCTAGTTTCCATAACTACCATATCATCTGCATCATCTTCTTTGGTATCAGAATTTTCTACAATGACGCTAATATTTCCCATTGGTGTCCTAGAAGAATAATTTTTAATGATTGGTAAATTCTTTTATGATATGTTTCATGGAAAAATACATTTGGCGTCATTCTTACAATATCTCTTCGTTAATAATTAATTCTGGTTTCCCTCGTATTCTAGGTGCTGCAGGCCTAGCACTAATTGGTCTTGCGCTAGGCGGGCGTAAAGAAGTTCTTGGTCTAAAATTAGATTGTCTAAAATATATAAAATATTTATCTCTAAATAAATAGAATGCATCAGGAAATACCTCATATCAATATTTTCTAATTGAGATTTTTGAACGTCTGATGTTACATGGTCAGGTTTTTCTATAGTCTGAGGAGAAATTTCATTATTGGTAATTTCATTTTCTTTATATTCCGTCTTTTCTTTGTTTTCACTTATTTTGTTATTTTCTATGTTATTTGTAGATTTAGGTTCCAAGTTTACATTGTCTGATATATTCTGTACATGATTTTGAGATTCACTATGTTCATTATGCGTTGCTTGCTTTGATTTATTTTCAACTTCTTTTTGTATTTTATTCTCATCTTCTTTTTTGTCTGTGTTTATATTTGCTTGCAAGGGAGTTATATCAGATGAAGATATAGAAGATGTGTTCTGTTTCAATTTAGCAGCCGAAGACTTTCTTGTACGTCCAGATGAAGGAACTTTATCTTGGGATGGCTAGAAATTATACATTCAGTTGCATTTTTCTATCTTTATAATTTAGAATTGAAATATTATAAGTTACCTGAGTAAGTGGAACGTGTGTAGCTTCAACATTTCTTTGAGATTTTTCATTTTCATCTTTATGTGATCCTGATTCATTTACTGCTGCACTAGAAGTTCTTTTCTTTCGATCAGTAGATTTTTCTTTAGCAGTTACAACTCTTTTTTGAGGCACTTCTTTTGGTAATGCTTTTTTTTCTTCTTTCCTAACAGATGATTTACTTTGTGAAGTTGACTTACTTTTCTCTAGATTCTTTTTATAATGTTCAATGGCTTCTGCACTGTTTATCTGATTTGCAAAGAGCTCATTAATTCTCTGTTCTTCATCTATTATATTTTAAAATATACCATTTAAAATGTATCATTTACATTACCTTTTTATCTAAAGCTTTTCCAATTGCTTGGAGTAATTCATTTGTTTTAGTAGGTTCCTGACCAGAAATTATCTTACTAGCTCTTACAGTTAAATTAGCATTGGTAGTTAATTCTAAAATAATTCAGAGGTGTATTTCAGTGGAAAGAAAAATATTGAATATTCTGTATGCATTTGTACAAGAAATATTACAACTTACTGACAACATCAATCAATTTTGTTAAATAAGCAAGTTTTGCCTCTTTGTTTTTTATATTTTCAGAGTTCAGTTCTTCTTCAGTAAATAAACCATCCAAGAAACCAGTTTCCTTTATGATCTATGATATCGTTTATTTATCAATATAAAAGTATAGAGCACATGAGCTTCATTTAAAATAGAAAGAATAAATTATGGAAACGATATATTACCGCGGATATAATATCATGAAGGAATCGGAACGGTGGTTTCTTCAGCAGTTTCTCGGTGAGCGGTGGCTTTTTAAAATACTTGCCAAGCACATCTTGTGTTTTTTGAATTACTTCCGGCTTCACATCGTCTGCCATTGTTAATTACAATTAAAACATATGGTGAGTGTCAATGCATATTTCTTGGCAATATTCGTGAACTTTGTGTTGCATTATGTGGTTGCATAGTAACGCGTATACGATCATGTACTATGTGGTTCAAATATAGTGTTACAGTCTGTTTCTTCAGAATCAATGAAGCTATCAATTTTATTTTCTTTTTGTTTAAATGGGAGCTAATTCTTTCATATGCAACACATTTTTTGGGGTGACTATTAGGAGGATAAGGGAGCATATTTAAAATTTCTTTTTAAATGGAAAGTGAATTCTTTTGTTATTTGGATAGCTCTTATCAAACTAAATAATATTTATTTGTAGATGAATTATTTTATATATCATGACATTGTACTACAAGTTATGTATATCAATTTAAGTACTGATCTTTTTTAAAATGATCTATTTTAGATAATTTACACAATTCTGTCTGCTACTAATGATGATTCTTTTAGGGGGTGATTGTACCACAGACGAGGTATACAAATGGACCTTACATCCAATGTTAACAACAAATTAAACAAATGAACACAAGAGGAAGTGAGACAGAAAATGAAATTATGAATAAAATTAGTAAAGAATTTTTTTCTCGAAAGTGCGTAGGATTTCGAGGGTATGTTTATTGACCAAAAATGATTGTAATTGACCCCTGCAATCGAAAACAATTTTTTTTAGAAAGATTTGAAATTTTTTTGTCGCCGAAAAATTTAGGCATCCCCTACCAGAAAAGTTGTCTAATACTTTCTTGTAAGTACCTATGAGCTCTATTTCAGAAAAAAGTTTCATTGAAATACATTCATTATTGTAGGAGTTATGGTCGTTTGAAAATTGCGTTTTTTCATCCCTTCCATAGTCAACTCACATGTATTAAAGGACGTTAATTTTCAGGTCGGTATGGCAGTCAGATTGGGTCACGATAGTCCATAAGGTGAAAGGTCTACTCGTATACCTCGTCTGTGATTGTACAGACTAGAAGAAGACTAAAACGAAGAATAACGATATTGAGTTTGAGCCGTTTTCTACTTTCGAAATTGGAGTTCTCTCGTTGGACTGCCTTTTGCGCTGGCCACGGCGGTGACGACGACACGATTGGAGTATCACCCCGTAATGTGTGTAATCGCGGTGCCCGCGAAAGCCGGATAAATCGCCGGACACCGAGGCGTTAGCGTTTTATAGTACATTAATTAGTCCGTTTGCGATGAGGAGGCGGATAAAAAAGTTTTACAACGTTGTAAATGCAAAAGGGGGCCTTCTTGTGGCCAGTGCTCGCGCCATGATTCGCCATTTAATTCCACCTTTCTTTTACGCGGACCGACGTTTTGCCGTGTTTCACGGGCCATACACACACGTTCTGTCCACGTATAACACACTTGGACCGAACCGTTTATGGTATTACTACGTTCGTCGCTTCGGCGTTCCACCACTGATGCGTGCTTTATTGCCATTGCTTTATTAGGCTTTCGTTTAATTGCTCGGGTCTAATGGCCGAGCTTGGCATACTTTCGTCTCGAGTTATAGGCTAATCGGGCTTTCCAACGAGCTTGGCCCTTGTTTTAATACAGTCCCTTCTTTTTTTTTAAGGATTAAACATTTTATGACGTGCGACGTTCGGAGATGCCTGTTGCCATATACGTAGATTGTTCAAAAAGTTTAAAGAATCAAGAAAACAAGCGTATCTTTATCGATACTTTCAAAGCTCTCGACTTTATAATTTAGGTCATTATTAATGTTTGTTGATTGTATCTATTCTTAGAAATAATCATAGTATGTATAAATATTTATTATAATTCATAAAAATGAATAAAATTATATTCAGTTTGCGTGTTATTCGATGTCATTTAATTTTGCCTTACAACATTTTTTTGTATCTCGTTTTGGTCAGATACTTTCTTGTATCACCACTAGTATCGTTGATAAATGCAATTTTGAGAACATTTTAACGAAGTCGTCGTTTCTTCTTTTCTGTTTCATAATAAATAAATCAAAGGAAGCATCTGTTTAAGGTTATTAGTCATTTCACTTTATTAGAGTGTCAAAGTTCTATTGACTCGTTAAAATTAAATATCATACATAATAATATGGCGTCATTTCATTTGATCAATACAAAATGATACAACACACAACACATGAAAAGTATAATATACAACACGGGGAAATACCGTAACGGTAATCACAAAAATTGATCGTGCTGAAACTATTCGGGAATTCTTAGAACACTTATATATCGATACGTTTCATCGTATATTGTTGTGTCGCTATGTATATTTTAATGACTTCTCGTGCCGAAGATAGAGCGTCCATGGTGGCGAACGCGGAAGAGGAATAAAAATAATAATTTATTTATAAATTAGCTTAACAAACTTACGCGTACCCTACGATATTGCAGTCAACAATACATGTTCGACGATTGATGCTAATATTACGCACAACTTATAGGTACATTTTTATGTGCATCGTAGTACAACGACGACCGCTTTTACTTACCTTGGAATTTTCGGACATCGATAAAGCCATACTAATTATATTTTCGGTTGTAAAGTGACTTTATAAATACAGAACCTTTGTGTTCCTTTTATTTTTTGGTAAATTATGTTACATGTCTACTTTAATGTTACATTCTTCGCGTCACACTGATCGTTTCGAATCCCGTATCCACCGAATATGCTTTTAATCCTTCAGGCAACGAACAGAGAGAATAAAAAGTCTGGCGATCACGTTTAGAGCCAAGAAAAGCGTGGATATTTTAATATACAACAAACACTTTCAGTTTGTAGGAGTATTTGTAAAATTGTGTCATGATTGTTTGCATATAGTTACATATAAATAAAATAATTTATCAGTTATCATTATTTGGTTGAAAATGAAACAAGAATCGTGGATTTGCCAATTGTAACATTTATACAAAAGATTAAAGTGTTTACGTACTATATTATCCAATGATTTTTAAATAATTTAATTCTCAATAGTTATTCAATAATTTAAAAAAAGTACAGTACATATCCACACTTTTAAAGTTTCTTTAATAATACTCTCGACAAAGTTAAAGGATTAAAGAAATATTCATCATCATCTGAAAATATTTTTCGCAGATCCTCTTGTCAAATAACACTGACCAATCAGTTTATATTTGATATTTGTGGCGAAGTTACAGTTTTATCTTGATGTTCATATTTACATTAATGCTTTTTGAGAAAGAAAGTAATGATGGTCGCATTATTATTTCTGTATACATGTATCTTAAAAGCCCGCAGGGCAGCCCGTTTGAAAACTGGCGGGCTGTTGGGGGGTAGCGTCCCCACGTACCCGAGGCGCTAATTAAGCAGTATTAATACTTTGACGGCCACTGTCACGTATACGTGATCGTACTCTTCGGTTGCTATATCATCATTCATTCAGCCTATTTATTTTTAGATCGATATTTATTCTTTGCTATATTATATGAATTTTTGATAATGAAAAAGTTTTGAATTAATACCTGTTTATACAATGTCGAATTAGAAAATTTCTGATCGAAAAACAGTTTGGAGGCTTTAATTAGACGAGACGCGTCGCTGTCAAAGTATTATTATTAAGAACTGCGAAACACAGTTGACTCGAGAGTGTGGTGTCGATATTGTCACAGAGACTTCACAAAATTTTCCTTTCACCGCGGTGAATTTACATCGTTTGATTTTCCAACTATCAAACTACTAAAGTACCGATTTACACGTTTAAATATTTCACACCGACACACTCGAGAAATCCAGATTCACAAATATCAAATACAAACGTAGTCTTAGATCACTATCTTGGGGTTGTTTCGTCAGCGACTCTTCGAACTATACAGCTTCTATGTCCTAGCCACTATTTTCTTTTCGAGAAATGTCTACAACGCGTAAATATCCGCGACGTTCCCGCGAAGATCCACCAAAATCTAGACAATCAGCTTAGCCTCTATCGCTAGACAATATCCCCGTTTTGTTTAGAGGATTTGCCCGGTTCGAGTCCTTCAGATCTCTTTGTTGAGGACGATTCCGCAGGGTTGCACCACACCGACGTTCGGCCTCTTCGAGGTGGTTTTGCTCTCGTCCTTCTTCAGGAGCTCCTCTATCGAGTAGGGGTTCTTCTTTCTCTGAGGTTGCATCGGCCTTCCCTCGATCGCCGTCTCTTTGGCCGTCGCGCACTGTTCGTGTCCTGTCCCCAGGATTCGCGGTGACCCGGTTTTCTGTTTCTCATTGCTGATTGGCGGGGGACTCTGCCGATTCTCTGGACTCCCAGACGATCCCGATGTACTGTGTCTGACGAAAGCGCTACGGTCGCTGCCAATCTTCTGACCGAGCTCCAGTATTATCGGGGAATTCTGGAAAGGCTTGTAGTGGTCCTGGGACTCCGTGTTCTCGTCCAGGTCGCTTTTGTCCAGGGAATCGTCGCTTCCTGCCATCGAACTCGAGCTGGACTTCAGCTCGACCTGATTCGTCGACCCGTTCTGTTCTGACAGACGCTCGACGTCCAACGATCTGGAAAGAATACATTATTTTCCTCAGTTTACCTGTCTCGACCAGAATCGTAAATACACTGCACGCGAAAGTTAATCAAAATGTGTTAGGTAAAAGAAAGGTCGTTGGAATGTCAGCGGAAGTCGACCAAAAAATGTAAATGCTTACGAGAATGATTGCATTCCGTGATGCAAGTGAAGCGTTGTCGCTTGATAGAGGGACGAGTAGAAGCTTGGGTTCCACGATGGCGCGCTAGTGTTACCGGAAGTTGTGGAAATATGTAGTGGTCCAAGAGCTCCCGGGTAAAATAGTTGATAATCCGTTCTCATCAGAGCTTCTGAAAATAAAATGTAACGCATTAATGAGAAACTGTATAATGTGTAGCTATTTTAGGAGTATTAAATCCTTATGCGTCTTATCTTCAATAACGGTGACCGTTTTTGTACGTACAAAATGAGTTTAAAACATATTAAGCAAAACACTAACTCTGATTAATTGTGTTCATTATAGAACCGGTTATCGGTCTATACAGTCATATTACTTGAAAAGAGTATGAAGTGTCCCAGATTTATTTTTAATAGTTCATTTTCAATCCCGTTAGTTTCAATAGAAGGAAAAGACGAACTATATCACAATGACGCAGCCAGAAATTCAGCAAAAGTGTTTAATCAATGATTAAAGCTTTAGTAAATTGTGTAATATAAATAATAAGTTAGGTTGGATAATCTGATTTTTAATTTTGCCATTACGAACAATTTGAATTTGATAAATGATAAGTGGATGCTGTTTCACGTTTACGTTTGTTAAAAGAGTACAGTTGATAATATGTTGTATTTTTAGTATAGTTTGAGGAACGCGAATGAATCTCTTAACCCGATGCACATTAAATATAACTAAGGCGGAGTCAGATTATTTCGCTGCAACTCGAATTTCGTGATGCAGTTCCAACGGTGGAAAAAGAAGCAACGTTATAGATAATTTACGGAATAAACGAGGCAAATTGTGAGGCGAATTCGAAGTTCCTTTAAGGGGTTGCGTGTCGATCGTCTCGCGGCAGCTCGCTGACGAGTCAATCGGCCAGAGGGTATTTTCGAATTCCTCGTCTTTTTCTTCTATCATCCTCGCCTGGCACGCTTTCCCTTTCTTCGTGTCTTTCTTTTTCCCCTCCCTGTTCCCCGCGATCGCGATTGTTGCATTTCTGGAACGTTCGTGTTCTCCTTTTTCTTCACCTTCGTTTCTTGTCTATGGGACCGAACTGTGGCGACGGCAAAAGGGTCAAAACAATGCAAAAAGTGCCGAGAGTGATTCCACGATCCGGACAGATGTTTAGGGGATCATTAGCCGGTAATGGCGCACTCGCAACGCAGCTTTCCTTCGCATAATGACTCACGAAACTCGAAAAATACCGACTATTTGGCTCTTCTTCCAATAGTCTATTCAATTTATTACTTCATGAATTTAACATAGTTCATAATTAAATTAAATTTAGTTTTTGCTCTTCGGGTACAATTTGGACTTTCAGAGTTCAAGTTACATTTACAATTATCTTCGGGGAATAATATGAACGATCACGTGTACACGAATAGAGTTTACAAAATAAGAAAAACATGTGAGAACGAATGATATCTCTGGACGAGTCTGTAAAATTGACTTAACTTGCATACGAGTTCGTAACGTGTTTACTTTTATAGCTGTCCTTCCATTTTATGATCCTACGTATCTTATTTGCATGGAAATATAAAACAATTTTCTTGCATATTATACGATATAAAGTATATTCTTACCTCTGTTAGCGACGTTTGACGAAACTTGCGAAGTGTACGTGCTCGATGATCCGCTTTCGATCCCTGCGTGATCGGTGTGAAGACCTCCGCCTCGCAGAATCCGATTTACAGAAGAGACAGAGGGTAAACTTTGTGGATCGCAGGCTCCTTGCCGGGCGAGTTGCTCACGAATCTCCCAGGCGAACATCGTCGGTTGTTCTTGTTTCATTCGTAGGATTTTCTTGACAACCGTGGGCGTGGCCACTTGCTGCAAAAGTAACAATCGTTTGTTAACGATAATCGCGCGAAAAACTAAAATTCATTTAGCATTTTTTTGAAACATCGCGTAAATTCAAACTGTAAGATGGCAATTATAAAATCAGGTGGTAATCTCGTTAATGTTTAAAAATTACTACAACAAATTGTAGATATCGTTCATGTTTTCAAGTATTAATTCTTCGTCTTACGTGTGCTTATAAATATGTTAGTTGTCGTAGAAAAGTTTTTCTCTGTAAAGTAGATCTTCCAAAATGCAATTAAAATTCGTTGTGTCATAATCTGTGTCAAAATGATTGAAAAGTAAGGTATTATGACGCCAATCTATGGTTCTCAATGAAGAAATCAAAACAAATCTGTCGTATTTCTTTTAGCGATATTGAATCCCAATTATGAAATCTTAAAGAAATATATTTTTTATTACATTCTATAAACTTGATTCTTCAGACCTCCACCGGTAGAAAATTAACTTCTTCATTGTGAAAATAATTGCCTGGAATTTCGTAAATTGCTCTTGTCTTCAACGATTTTGTGAACGGCTGTAACTCAACGGTCTAAAGAGATCTTGACGTTGCAATTAAGAGTGCCAAATTTGGGAATCGTTAAAACTTTCAGATAATACGAAGGAGTAAGTACACGAACGACGAAGGGATTGAAACAATGTTGCGAGCCTACCACCTGATGTTCACGAAAGGGGTGATCCATATCGCGGTTATTTTCGAAACGTAAACGCTGATGATTGTGATTCTTGTCGAGATATAACACGATGTTATCGGCTCAATGTTGTACTTCGAGTTTCATCGATTTTACCTACACGATTCCTCTTTCCGATCCTCTTTAGCTCGACTGTGGCTATCAATGATAATACGACGATAAGATTGTCGGAGCTAAACACATGTGCATGTTTGACTTCTTTGCAAACTGATCGAGATAAACCATGCTTTAAATAACAGAAATTTAAATTCACCACCTGCAGAATCTTACGTGAAACATTATCGACGCATCTCTTCTGTACAAATAAACGTAAATACGCGTTCGTATGTACGTTGATTCAACAAGACGCGTCATTGCATAACAAATGAATAAAATTATCTTACAACATTCTTCTGTATCTTCAAACGTTTTAAAGATTTTTTTTTGAGTTATCGTAATCGAAATATAGGCTAGAACCGATATATAACAGTTTGAAATCGTTTCAATCATTGCTTCCTGGGCTTAAAAATCACTTGTTCGATCGTCGTAAGTTCGCGGCGGCCATCGTCGCGGAAGTGGTAGGACCGTTGCAACCGTTGCCGATCATTAACCCGGTCATTTTTTCCACCCAGTCGGTAGTTGGCGTTATCTCATCGACAAATTAACGCGCAAGTGGTCACACTGTCGTCGGAATGGGCAGCGAGCGGCGGCGCGCGCGGCCATATGTCGTTCACAGGTGAAGAACGTTCGGGGCCCGTGAATCAGATAACGGGATGGTCCCAAAAGGTAGGTGGGTAACGCGTACCCGCGCTTTATTACAGTTTAGCCCCGGTTTACCGAGGAGGCGGGCTCATCTGCTCTCGCAGACGTGTTCCGTTCTTTGGTAACCGGGGGCCCACGAACTTGGGGCCCGGGCCCAGTGGTGCTCAATCCGTGCGAAGTTCATTTGACTTGCTAATGAACGCCGGGACCCCTCTGGTTAATTTTATGCTAACGCGATGGAAATGTTATGCGGCGTACAGATTTTCGAGATCGCCGATTTCTTTCTGGGCAGGGGGGAGGGGGCAACCACGGGGCAGCGAGAGAACGATATGGTTACGGGGGGCGTGCATTTTCTGCGCGTACCTCTTTGCCGGGGATCACTTTCAGCTATTCGGTAGAGGCGATGCGCGACGTCGATGCACGAATCGCAGATTAAAGCTAAGTGCCGATAAACGTATCTACCTGCACGTTAGATGCGCACGCGAAACTTTAAACGCGTTCCTCTCGTAGCCGTGTCTTTTAAATTTGCTTCCATGTTGCTGGAACGAACGCTCAATTTGCTCGGTGAAATTTGTTGTTGACGATCAGGCGAAACGAACAGTTATAATATTCTAATGTTTCGGGACTGAGATGTTCATTTTCCATTCCTTCTATTATATTTGCAATCAAAACTCTCGTCATACCCTGAATGAAGCGTTACAGTCAGTTAACCGGGGACAGTGCTTTGCCGCGTTCCATGTACTACGTAACAATGGTGACACGACGATAGCAAGAGCGGCGATGTCCATTGAATGGCACCGATATGGGAGCACCACTGGTGGTCATAGCGTTTAAGGGGGTAGTCGAGCCGTCCGCCTAATAGTTTCAGGGGTTAGGACAACCATCGCGTGCTCCCGGGAGCATCTCAGATTCTAATCTGACACTTCCGTCGTCATTTCCACAATTACCCCGACCCACGGTATACGTGTCCCAATGCCTAACCCTTCGCGTTGCATCGCGTACCCTCGAGTGGTGCGACATGTACACGCCTGACGATCGCCGGTGCCTTTTCTGTGTGCGTGCGCCAAGCACCACAAAGGAAATTGGCCAAGCCGGACAGACATCTGGCGCTAAACGTTAGATAACATAAACTATCGAACAGGTTGACCAGTAATTACTGGCGAAGGCCTGCCACCACTGTCCACGGTTATTCGAGCTGCTCCCGATGATAAGACGTACGAGGACATGTCTTAACGTCTTTCTGGTAGCCCCACTCGGTTCCTCCACTTCCTTTCTCGATAAGTTTTATCGAATCGTTTTTTACTCTAAATAAATTTAATGACGTAATTTCCCTATTACCACCTACCATCGTGGTTTTGACGAGAAATATTCTTAAAGAGTAGTTTTCTTCGTAAGTTTCGAAGCTTTTCCTTAATTTTATTTTGAGTCGTAAGGCTCACAACTATGGAACACAACTCCTCCAAAAGATATTTCATGCGTAGATATTTTCAAAGATAAAAGTTCGTACAAATAGTACAGAAGTTTGTGTAACATTATTTCCAACGTGTAGTTATTTTAATATTATAATTGTTAAGTAGCTTTTATGGAAAGTACTGTTACAAATTGTCTAGACGTACGTAGATATCGTACTACGTGTTAGTCGTAAATGTCCAAGTAGAATGAGCAACGAAGACAATTAAAACGCGAAAAATAATTTTACTTGGAAATTAGGGAGGACAAATGTTTACACAAACTTCGTTTGTTATTTTCGTTGAATTCACTCCCATAGTCGCGTACGTACTTAATGAAGTACTGTCTATATATGTGGAGATTATCCTCGCGCGATTTGTCGCTGTTTGTTTTCGTTGTTCCGTGACGTTTCATCAGCTATTACTAAATCATTCATCGAGAAATAAATACCTATCCGTTAGAAGGCTCGAGCAGGGATCGCCATCGTGTTCGCGTGAGATCTTAATTACCAGATAAATGGAAAAGCTTCCGATCGACGAACGAGAATCGTCGAGAAAACGAATGTCCACATGCGAGAATATTTATGACACTTTCTTGGAGAGAAGTCCGCTTAACGCGTAGATTTCACGCTGTAGAACGTTTCTTACGTCTAGAATTAAATACGTGCGCGCGTGCCTAGAACAGTTGTGTATTAAAAGAACGTAATTCACGTAGAAAAAATTAATTTAATTTCTTTACGCGATAGTCTGATTGCCAATCTAAACTTTCTTCCACTTAAAAATTATTGATAAAGTTCTGTTTGTGATTGATGTTGCAAAAGCAAATGTTTCTTAATTTTGTTTTGAGCAATTAATGATCTGTTTGGTCACATTTGAGTGCGCGAAAAGAAGCCAATCGAAAAGATTAAAGCGAGGCAAAAAGGATACTTAGAAACGTACTACGAGAGGAAGATTTATAGTTTCATACTCGTACTGCATAATATGTAATTTATGATCCATACCCTCCCCCCCTGAAGACTATATAATTTTCTGTACCTTAAGAATATCCTACCCCCTGTCTAAATTCAATATTTTTACGTATACGACATCTGTAATTTTCATTGCAACGCTATACTTTGCCGCGTTAATTCCGGTAATATTTGGTATCGTCGAAAAGGGCATACGTTCCAGGAAAGTCGCCACAATTTTTCCATAAATGAACGGCAATCAAAACTTTTAGACACGGCGAATGGGGGGGTTGAAAGATCGGAACACCTGTGAAAGGGCCAGTTAAACAAACACAGAAAAAGAAGACAGGGACGAAGATTGCGCGATTTTCTCGCGGCTTCGACGTTCCACTTTATTATCGGTGCTTCGACGGGGCGTACATTTTTCATGAGACAATTTCCTCTGCCGTGATGGGAGTCCATTATCCGACGCGTATCGCGCCGGTTCGAGCACGTACATGGCCAGAGATAACGATGAAAGTACCAGGACACGCTTCGAAAACGTTACATACCGTACCGAGAACACGTGTAGATCGACGATAGTTTGACAATTAATTCGCATATTAATCGGTCGATTGGAAAATAATGACGCTGTCTTAACGAGCGTGACTTTCCACGAACGTGCAAGAGCTATCTATAAATGAATTTGATCGGGACTCGACTACCAGAAACTGACTTAATTTATGTTTGTCTTTCCTTTTTTTTTTTGCCATGAATATATAATTTTCTCGCCCGTTCCTTGGAATTTTTATGATTATTATCGATGCTTCTGAAGTTCTGTCGACATTTTTAGCCGTTTTATCGGCAAACGTGTCTTTTGATCATTAATAAAATAAAAATATTCACGACAATGTCATAATACTGGTATAGTTATAGTTGGCAGAAGTTTTGACTCACACCATTTTGTTTTCTACAAGTTTTGGCAATCGTTACAAAAAATATATCATTTTTCTTAATTTTACGGCTAAAAGATACCGCGCCATCGACAGAATCGAATTAGGTATTGTTTACGATAGTTGGGGAACGTGTCTGATATACCAACGACTCGAACTACTTTGAGTGGTAAGATTAAATCTACGTAGTGGCTGGTCTTTTACACAGTGCACTTAAAACGGCGGTTCATAGGTTTTCGACAGTCTATATTTACCTTTCGTTACACGGCAAAAATTTGGGCCACCTTTCTTCTGTTGCCCGAAGCGGAAGAGAGTGCTAAAAGCAACTTTCGAGAAAAGGCGACCGATTTAAAACTACCGTGCAATTAAGAGTTCCAAGTATATTCATTATATAATTACGTGAGTTTTTTGTTCATATTTAGTGTTCACAGACCAGAATGAATCGGAGAAATTATGGAACTTTCAGACACTTTAAAGGAATTTCGAATATCCGTTACAAATTTTTAATGATATCGACGCAGTAAAATTCAACTGCCGGTGACCGTTGCATACAATTTTAATCCATTGCAATTACTACGTTAGTTGATCGTTACCAAATTACAGTTTTATTAGAAGCTTCGTTATTATTAATGTTTCGACTGTATCTCATTGTGTCAGTATCGAATTCAACACGAACAAATTACAACCTAGCGTTGAATACGATGTAGAAAGTGTTCTTGTTCGGGGTTTGGTCTTGTCTTGTTACGTGTAAGGAGAATTTAATGGGCAAAAAATGGATGTTTGTGGAACAATGGAACTCCCCCGAGAGCGCCTACTGCTCCCAACCGCTTTCCAACACTGTTCTTTCGCGGGCGTTGAAATCTCCCATATTATTCTTTTCGCGCACGCGACATCGACGCCGCCGGACACTGGCCCGTCCGACAAAGTATTAGTCTGTTAATCCAGTTAGTGCACAAAGGGGCAATCGAATCGAAGCTTATATAGTTCTAGTGGAAATTGTGTTATCCGCCGGCTCGACTATTTTTGCGCCGACCGGAACAAAACGAAGACGGCGCAATAATGGCCGCTGATGACGATCGTTTACATGCGCTCGTGATCGTACCCGCGCACAGTCAGAATTTAAATACGCTCTTCAGGTTTCCACCGTAAAGAACCCCGGGGTGAGAGCTCGAGCCCCCGTCGCAATTCGCCGGAGGTCGTTGCACGATGGCCGACGTTATTAAAATAAATTCATTAAGCCGAATCCGTGATCGCGCCGCGTGTTCCAGCCACGGACGAAATCGCAAGAAACACTCCGTGTATGTGCGCGGCGTGCAATTATATTGTCATTAGTGACGTCACACGCGTAATACAACACGCACGGCCCGTCCTCTTTGTCGGGCCGCATTCGTACGTCGTTCCGCGAGATTCATCTGGAGGAAGATAATCCGCCTCGCCACCCCGTGGCCCTTGATTACCTATCGAACCCGTGCAACGTGCTGTGTACAAGGTATCATTGTTGCGTTGCGCCGGAACTCGTTATGTCGCAATTTTCTGCAGCGCCGTTTCGCAACATCAGGGAAAGAGACGCGTCTCCGATAGGCAAAGGCTTCACCGAAAAAGCACAACTCGCGTTAAATTTATAAGTATCTTAACACTTTGCCAACTGCAAGCTTTTTGCGAACTGCATGAATGTTTGCAAGCGCAAAGAGGGATATTTCTTTGATTGGTTTAGTGTGTTTCGAGTTTGCTAAAAATTGAGATAGTCGTGAACAGGATATTTGATTTTAAGAAATGGAATTCAACGTTAACTTTGTGATAAATTACGTGTGAAGGATGAAATATACTGCAGGAGAGAAAATGGGAACACGATGGTGATGCTCAGGTGGTGTTTCAAATATAATTATTTAAAAAAAGAATTGATAGGAATAAATTATGGAGTTGTCAGAATCCGCCGTTAAAGATTGTTTTGCTATGAGTAATATAATTGTTTTATCACGACCAAATAGATCACCCGATTTGAAAGGTATATTCAGATTTTAACGATTTGCTGAAGATTGGATGCACGCAAGTTTATGGGTTCTGTTTCTCGTTTCCTAGTATATTTTTATTTTTGATGGCTATCTTGAAAACCATAAAAGATCGTCGATTAAAACATTTGAAAAAATTAATCGATACTCTCACCCGTATATATCATATGTCAAGGTCAAAGCTTGTCGGCGAAGTGTTCGCTAATGTAAATAATTACCATATTCTCATTATAGAAGATGAGCAAATACATTAATTTCAGCAAATCACAAGTAAGATTTAGAGTTTTGAAATTTATTAAATTGGGACGATTGAATACCCCGAATAATATATCACACCTAATGTGACACTCGGCTATAGTTTATTTGTTCATATAGACATAGAATAGAAGCAGTTGCACTTTTTAAATCGCCTACAAAAATATTGCAATTATTAATCTCGAGTAATAACAAAACCGGAGTCTCCGTTGGATAAAATTGCCCGTAGAAACGAGTGGAAACGTTTGCCATAAACGTTGGAAGGCATCGAGCCATCTCACGACCACGTTCCGCCGTGTCACCGGCACCGATCCACCCCGATCGTAATTGACTGATCAATTCAATCTTCCCGGGAGCTCGTTAGGGAGGGCAGAGATTCAATGAAAGTTTTTAATATCGTAAATCGCGGGGAAATTGCGCGCAGGTAGGCGGCGTCGTAAACAAAGAATTTGAAATTCAAATCCGACACGCGTTAAAGCCGCGTGTCGCGCGTCCATAGGGTTATTCACTTTTCTTGTAACGGAGCGTCTAAAGACCGGTAAGTGCTTCTAATTCGACTCGTTTTCGGACGGAACGATCGCCTTTACGATCCCGATATCCTGTGATTGCTCTCTGACTGGCGTCGTTCCGCGCGGATCCCAACCGGGCACCGATAATTCCGCGCGACAGTGAGGCCGCGACCAAGAAAACCGTGCAAAGCCATGAAATTATGCAAATGCACGCCGCTGCAAGGTGTTTGGATAATTGCGAACACTGTCGGCTCGCGCAGCCCTTACTTAAAATCACATCAGCGCCGCTTCGGCCCAATGACTTCGGAGCCGCGTTCTTTCGCTCTCTTTGGTCTTTCTCTCCTTCTTTCTCTTGCTCTCATCAGGGTCACCGCCCCATAACGCACACGTCCTTCCTTCGTTTATTACGTTTTTTGTCGCTCGCGTAGTGGCATCCGTAATTGCGTCTCGATAGTTAGGGTTAGAACGACCCGAGTCGATTTCCGTCTTCGGCGCCATGTTTGATACACCGTCTCCGTTTCCCCAACCTCTTCACGGCTATTATTCGCTAGGATTATTATTTAACCGTGATACTTGGAACGTATACGATGGAGTAGAGAACCTAACCGGATTTTCACAACTATTAACGAAGTATTTGATCAAATTAACTGTCTAAATATCGACGAAGGCCCAAAAGACGACGGTATTCTTCATGTTACAAATTTCTCAACGTTTGACGACGGTTTCCAAGTAGATGCAATTTACACTAGTTTACACCCGGAAGTCTCATAGCCCTCTTATTATCTACGACCATTGTAATTTATGTTTAACAACGAACCACATAATTATTGAACGCCAGAAGTACGTTATAAAAATAAGGGATTATAATATTCAGGATAACCTTATCGAACTGCTTGTATTAATGTCATGTTGAGGGTAATCAGATGTTAAGGGATTGCACTCACCTTTGTTTTACTTCCACCGATGCTTCCTGGTCGAATGCTCCCTGTTTCGTAAAATCTCGTAAGGATCTTCGATACGCATCCGTGGGAAACCAGAAGCTGTCGCGAGATATCGCAAGGTCTCACGCCGACCAAAGCAAGTTGCACGATTCTCTGTCGAACGCAGTCGGGCAATGGTCTCCCGTTAACAAAGACACCACCCAATTGATTAACTCCCGCTTGACCTGAAAAATAAATGGTTGATTGCTATAAACACTTTCAGTCAGTCATCTTCGATTACTGTAACATCCAATTAGTTTGTTATCAGTGAACTCCTAGTCCGTTTTACTCAAATTACCTATGCACAATAGCAAGTATTTATAGAGGGGAGGAGGGTTATAGAGGCTTAAGTTTTCCTTATTAATAAAAAAAAATTTTAATAATGAATGAAAATTTTTTTGTGATTTTTTGTTAACTCTCCTTTTTGAGCTTTCCTGAATCCATCACTGACAATATACAGGGTGGCCGACCACCCTGCATACGAAAAATGATACTTGAATATGTATGGCCATTATTTAAAGTGGAAATCAGTTTTATTGATACGAAATTTATTTTCTTCGTTCACAATATTTAATAAACGAATTAATCAATTCGAAGAGATATTAGAAACCTTTCATCCTTATCGAACAAATTATATACATATATTTAGATTCGTATGCACTGGTCAGACGAGTATATTTACTATTGCAAGTAACTATTAGAGTCGATAAATCTAACGCGCGTGATTAGAATCCAATTAATAAGTTGTGGAACAGTATTATTTGTTATAAAAAGAAATCAAATTAATTGGTAAAATTGAAATTCCTATTCTTATCATTAACTTTGGTATCATTGCTTCGATATATTCTGGAGTATATATTATTAAACTCTACTACTTGCATGTACTCGTTCGGTGATTTTAAGGGTTGGTAGATGCTTGCACCATAAATAATGAAAATTAGGCATGTAGATTAACGCGGATTGTATTAACGAGATCAGTATTGCTGCAATTATAAAAAAGTGTTCGATGAACGAGCATGCACCCCGGTATTACTTAAATTAAATGATTAGCTCGAAGTAACGAAATGATTGAAGGTATTGCTGAAATGCAGGTGTTCCTTTCGGCTGATCGTTTTCGAGCACATGGAACACCGAAATAGGAATAATCTGCTAATAACGCGTACACGGTTTAGGGTGGAGCAGAGGGGCAGATGCTTTTTCGTGCCCTCTAATAACATTGGTAAGTGGGATGTCCTCGAGAAAGAATCGTCCGACATTCTTGCATGCGTCTCTCCGGAAAACGGAGACGTATAATTATTTTCTGTTCCGCCGGCGGATGTCGGACGACGATGACAGACAGAAAGAGGAACGGCCGTACGGAATATTGGTCGAAATCGTTTTCCGCTAATTTCCAGTCGTTCCTTCGATGCTCACGAATTATGGTTCTTAACAATTTTTCACGCATTCAACGCGAAATGAAATTACCGGGGGGCCCCGGTTCCTTCCTTCATCTTTACCTCCTCGACTGTTTTCGAACGAAACAGAGGAAGTATTGCTAATCGGTTAATAATCCCCGTCGCTTTCTTTTTTGTTACAAAACTTTGTGTGTGGGTTTGTTGAAAACATAATAATTGTTCTCCACTTTACTCGCTAAAAACGTTTGGACATAGCATTAAATTTATTAATATTATTTACTTCTAAATTGGGTCACAAATCTTACAGTTGACAAATTAATTAGCATAGAAGAAAACAATTTTATTAAATTAGAATTGTGGAATAATAGGATAAGAATAAGTATTACTGTAGTCAGGGAATAAAAAGTTGGCTAATTTGAATTTTCGTCGCGTTTTTCTAACGCTTCGGTGATCCCGCTGTGCGGCGATCGACGATCACAGAAATTTCCATGAAATTTCGTTCTCCCGTAATAATTATGCCGTTAAGTAATCGTTGGCTACCGAAACGATTCGAGAATTAGGGGACTTCTCGCGGCCGGTAAGCCACCGGAGGATTTATGGGCGAGTTAATATCCTAGCTGGTCCCACGGACGGACCTTTTCGGTCTTTTACCCTCACGGAAGCTGATCGCGCGTTTCGTCGGAACGCGACGCGTCGAAAGTGGCGTAACTCAAATTTTATTCCGTGGTTTAATGCCTGCCGACCACGACCCATCTGGCTGTACGATTTTCAACGCGCGGATATAAAATTGGTGATCGATTGACGTTTTTATTCCGAGCATTACGATTTTACGATTCCCAAAGCGGAGTCCGGGTCTCCTCGTCGCGCACACAACTGCGCTGCTTGGCTACGATTTCACGCTTCGGGACGGCGAAAAATTCGAGAAACTTCGCGCTATTAGGCTTTTATCGAATCCCGTCGTGCCGATAGTTCGAGGTGTTGCATATTAAAATCGGAGAGCGAGAGTGCTTGTCACGCGACGGAGATATATCGAGGAAACGAGTGTCTCTCGAAAAAGAATGGAACGAAATTGAAGTAGCGGATCCAGTTTGTTGGAAATTGGAGATTTATGCGAATTTTAGCATCGCCTTGAAGAAATTTCGATAGTGGCCTTTTGACTAAGACAGCGATTCGCGTTTTCATAGATGACTTGGTAAAAATGTCTTAAAAATTTGACGTAGTTTCGAGCATTGTAATTCATAGTATTACAATGCTCTTACGAAGTGAGATATTAAATTAAACAGTGTCCTTAAAAAAATATATAAATCGATTGGGAAATAGTTGTTGGTTTTATCGATCGTATTTAAATATTCAATGTATATTTCTAAAATTTTCGATCAAGTATAACTTAATCAGCCCGTTATATACGATCGCGTTAACTCATTTTATATTCCAATAAATCTTGCACGTTCCATTAAAGCTTCTACTGAATTTTAGTCGCAGTAAAATTTATTACTTTTACATTGCGATCGGGGGCAAAATACAAGGAGAAACGTCGATGAAACGAGATTTCGATAAATATTTACGTTTTTTAAAATTGCATTCATATCTAAAAGAAGAATTTCATAAACATGCTTCTTTTACCACAATTACGCTTTTTGCAAATACTGTATTTTTCTGAATCACTTACAGAGGATAAGCAATAAAGTAATTACGAGCAAAAGAACCACGTTTGGCGGGGATTCTCCTTCGATGGATGATTTAAGGTTTTCCACGGACAGCGGCGACAAACTTTTCGGCACGTTATTACGCGCACATTACATCGAAAAGGGGAGAAATTCTCGCGTGTCGATCCCTCGTTATTCATTGGCGATATCCGACAGCGAAGTAACGATTTATTCGGGTTTATCGGCAATTATTATTTCGCCTCCTTAAAAATCCCGTCGGCGACCGGGGCATGTGTCTTCCTTCGCTTCTTTATTTATCTTTTTTTTCTTTACTTTTTCCTTCCCCCTCCCTTTAATTTTGGCGCTACACGACAAGAAGAGCGTCGCTTCCTGTTTCAGCCTCCGAGGATCGGCCGAAATTACACACGGCCAGAAAAGCGACAGACCGACGCGACCGCGGGCCAAATTATTATTACGGCAAAAACGAAGCAGGAAGTTGTCTCCTTATCTGTGTAAAAATCTCCGGCCGAAACGCGAAATTGCGCGAATAAATGTCGGATTCCCGCGATTCTCTTCCACCCGATGGCGAAGGTGCAAATTTATCGAGCGTGAAGATCGCTGGACAGGTTCGAAACGGTTGCCAGAAAAGCGTTACTTTCGACTGCAAATTGTCGTTGGCAGATGATTTTCCAGGACGAAATAAAATATTTGTCCGTGTCTGATTCACGCGAATTATTACGGAGATTATTAAAGAAACCCGTATATAATTCTATTTTAACACGTTGATTGGCCACATTAGTTTTCTATGTATAGAAATGTTCTCTATTATGTATTTGACATTTTACAGTATTCCCAATGATAGTGACGTTATTCAAAATTTGATAAGTATTAGGGTACGTTTGTTGCAAGTAATTAAAAGAAACATAGCAGTCATCGTGTTAAGGGTAGTTTCTGAAACGCTGAATTAATGAATTTTTTCAATGATTTCTTTTATAAAAACGTGTGTTCTTAAAGTGTGGGTAATTAAGTTTGCTGACTTTTCAGTACTCTAGATAAAAAGCCCAGATTAAATGCCTCCCTTAATAAGAATAAAATATTGCATCTTCTGAGAACTCGTGAACCCTGGTTCGAGAAACGCTGTTAGAAAACGCTAAGTATGATAATATATAAATTTATCAACGGTTGTATACATTTTCTGAGACTCACGTGAAATCTTACGAGCGTTGAGCAATGTGTTTAAAAATTGACTCTCTTATCGCGGAGAACTGCTAACTTTTAATTGCTCGTTTACCATTCGAAGAACGAACTCTCCGCGGAGGATTGCACGCGGCTGATAAGATAGAAACAGATCGAAAGGGAAGCAGGGCAACAGAAAAAGAAAACGAAACATCCGAAATCCGGCTTGTGCATACCGACACGTAACGCCATACAGGCCATAAAATTGCGAGGTAGAAAAATATTTATGCGACGGGTCGTAGTCAGGACCGCAAGGGTGTATCTTTGGATACATAATAATGGTTAGCTTAGAATTAGCGAACTAATGCGAGCCAACGGGCGATCGCTATCGTTCTTGCCATTTAGGCCCTAACCAAACTATACACCTGCCTACCTGTAATCACGATCCATCTACGCTAACAGATTTTTTTCTCTCTCTCCTCCGCGTACGAGGGGACACGCGATGCAACTCGAGTCGATCCTGAATCGCATGTATCCCGTAATTGAAATGTACGATCGATATTTACCCCGCAATACGGCGTCCAATGATGGTGCATCGTGTTAACAGCTAATTGGCTCGTTAATCGGTGAAATTTTTTCGTCTCGTTGTCTTTTCGACGTAGCGTTCGCGCGGCATCGAGGATGCCAATGAGACTGCGTCGAGTTGAAACCAGAGGCGGGCAAAACGTAATCCGATTAGTGATTGATTATCAAATACTCGGATATTATTTGTTAGTATCTTTTTTTTTCGTTGCTTCCTAATGGAAAAGTAACTTAATGGAATTACTCACGGGTTTGATACTGGTTCTGAGTAATGATCGGGTTAATGAAACCAAAGATCATAAATAAATGAAAAAGGTACAAATGGAATCAAGAAATTACTATTAGTATATTGATTATACACGTATAAATTCCAAGCAATAGCGTTATGGAATTAATGAGATCAGAAATATAAGAAGAACAAGAAAAGAAAACTATGTAGTGTTATATGTTCCGATGAGAATAGACAAATAACTGTTTAATCAGATAAATTTGTATTCGAATGGAAATTTATTACTGGTACGTAAGCAGCTACCTGAATAAAATTATGCTTGACAGTAGTGCCAGACACCTGCGAAATGTCCATCTTGTTTGTTTTGCGAAATACGCTATTTACAGTTCACGTTTGAAACGAAATGGGAATATAAATAACGGAAGAAAAGTACGAAATTTATTGTTATTAAAGTCTTGTTGCGATTCTCGTTCTCGCAGTAAAAAACATGTCGAATTTGGAAGAATACGTGGACTGGTGGAGATAGGAAACGTTATTTTGTAAGCTTGGACATATACATGAGGAAATCGTGAAATAAATTCGTCGATACGATCACGTTGTGTTTGGTCAAAAATTTGTTTTACAAGAGATAGGTTTTTTAATACTATTCAAAGCGCGTACAAAATAATTTTTAATAATTGGAGATGTTTGGATGCAACATACAGGGTGTGCTTTGCTAGATTCGTGTTCTCTGTCGTCATTCGTGTTTTTTAAAAATTAGACAAGTAATTTCTGTTCTGATTCAAAGTACGTTCGAAACATTGTAGCACAGGCAGACACGGGATCGAGAAAAATGAACAGGGGAAGGAGAAAGAGCACGCGGGGTGCGAGAGAGGTGGACAGTGCGATGTAATTAAAGTCGTTTAATAACAGGCCCATAGATCTTAGCTCTCGATCCGCCGTATAAAATTCTTCGTTAATTACTGTCAAACTGCCTTCCAAATCGTAATTTAGCTGACGCCTCGAGCCAATCGTTCGAGAGCGGATACGCTCGCGGAGAAGGAGGATAAATACGAGCTCGTAATGAACGCGGCAGAGAAAGCGAGATAAACAGAGAGAAATGGAGGATGGAGGAGCAAGGGGGTGTGGCAGAGTGATTTTAATTTTTACTGTCGATTGCGCGGAACGACTCGTCTTCTGATCTCGCCGACGGTAGCTGACCTCGTGCTAAATGTCCGAGAAACGATAACGACGAGCCACGTCGTTGCATAAATCAGAAAGCAGGTACTGCCGTGGCTATCAGCGCCGCTAATATTTCTGACCGATAATATTCTTCTGACTCCTATATAGATGGGCAACGATATTCGAATTCTATTTACACTGTGTCTGAATTCTAATGGGACTTCGGGAGCGTGTTCTCTGGACCGATACCGGGAAAAAGATTTCTATAAACATGGCGATACGAGAGACTAACGGGTCGCGAGAGTAGCTAAAGAATGTATACTTTGGTGACTCGACTACGCTTACGGCGTTTTACGAGCACAAAAAGTCAGTGTTCCGCGTAAAAAAATTCGAGTAGGTGGACTTTGTCGACAAAATTAAAACATTTCAAATCGTTCTAGAAAAATTATGTTTAGTTGCAGGGGTCAATTACAATCATTTTTGGTCAATAGGCATATCCCCGAAATCCTACGCACTTTCGAGAAAAAAATTCATTACCGAAAGTATACTGTGTGGCCGGAAATGTTTCTATAACTTTTTAACGAAGCCTCGATCAACAAATTAGTATTCTTGATTTTCGTCTTATTTTGACCTCTAGAATCTCCCATTAAAATTTTTCCTAGGTGTGGTTGAACACCCTGTATATGTATACAAATTTTGAAATGCAAATAACAAAGACATTATTGTGTTGTTTGTTCATTCTCGCGTCTGTTTGTGAAACGTAAGAATGTTTAAAACCTCTGTACTCTGCTCGTTTAATCCATACTTTTGCGGACTCACCTGTATGCGGCATATTGATCCAAGGATTTCCTCGATAACCTGAAACAGAAAGGTGAGCCTCATTAACGAATGTAGATCATTGCAAAATCGTCGGTTGATTCTTTAAAGCACGCAATTATTGCGACTCGCTGGTGTTTAGAACATAACGATGCCTATATTTCGTACGTACACTGCGGTATACGTATATACGTTAGTCGCATGTGTACGGCGCAGTTTACGGGAACGTAGCCTTTACTGTTAATGAATTTAAATGTATTCAAAGGGCGCGCTTGACGCTTGACATGGCAACCCTTAAATATGCAACCGTACCACGCGGCAAAATATTACCAACAGCGGGCCGTGATTCTCATTCCGCGAAAATAATACGATCGGAAAGACATCGAGCAGAGTTCACGTTACTTGATATTTCGGTTTATTAAAATTACATATTACATATTACAGTCACGAGGTATCTGGAAACATAACGATGGCATTTAATTGAGAATCAATGGACATACAAAAACATACAATGTTTTTGGCGATCGAAAATATTCTGAATATAGAATCGAAAGATTGCAAGACATAAATCAATATTTTGATATCAACCCCCTATTATTTTTAAATTGAGAATACTGAAGAACACCCTCATCGGAATCACATAAATATTTTGGATTTACTAACCTAGGCTGAGATACCTATTCTACTTATTTAATAATTTAGTACTTATAACGATACATCTTGGTCCCTTTATCCTACAAAGATCGTATATTGACCCTTTGCACTCCAATTTTTTATTAATTTGAGCGACTAGCAATTTTATGCTTCTAAAAATTAGAAATATTCTTCATCCCACAAAAATGCACAAACGCTTACAATTTGAACAAAATCAAATTACACAGTAATAAACAAGACTAAAAATGATATAAAATTAAACGTACATTCAATATTTCATTTATAATTTAAATTCTACTCCCTCGTTTCGTGAATTGAGTTTGCGTAACCATAAATAAAACTCGAATCGAGTCACATATTCAGTGTGTCGCCACAGCGGCGCGCCAGTGGCGCACAAAGGGTTAATTTCATTCATGAGATCTCTTTGTCGAAATTATCAATGGCGGTGTCTTTCGAGAGTATTTTGGGAAAAAATGCGAAATTGAAAGGATTAATCGAGTGGGTGTGTCGGCAACGGCTTGAGAACTCCAAAGAGATCGAGCGGGAGCGGAAAACTACGTGGAATGCGTGCGTAGCGTGGCGGGTGGCGTGTACTTTGTGATGCAAATTAATGCGCGATTACCAAACCGCCCCTATCCCCGACCCGCCCCCTCCTCCTCGTTACCCTTGCTTCCTTCGTGTCGTGGCCTCCGTTGGCCACCAGCAAATGGCTGCACGGCTGTGTTGGTGGCTGCGTACCACAATTTCAGGTGTATTTCTCGGTTACGTGCAATGAGTACGGGCCCACCTTCCACCCCTGCCACTCGATGCCTACCCACGCATTAAGCCTGGTTACACGCTCGCTCCTGCTCCCCTAATCTGATGTAACTATTACACGTTACACGGTGCACGGTCGCGGTATCGACGGAATATTCCCTACTTCGTGGCCTTTTCGTCTCGCTGATTGATTCGTCGCGAAACATTCGGAATCCGATCGTTTCGATCGAAACGTTCGGGGTTGTACGAAGGTTTGGGCACTGTTTCAGAATTCTTTGCAATTTGATGTCTCGAAAGCAGTGTTTCTCAAAGTTTTCTGGTCGCGACCTACTTGGACATTTTTTCCTTTTTATCGCGTAACCGATCCCCGACTACAGTCGCAATAAGCAAATCGAACGACAGACCGTGGAAGGAGGAGCCATATCATTCGGATAATCGAAATTTTATCGTGTTTTTATCCTAAATAAATTTGTCTGTATTATTTTTACAAAAATTTCTTTGATTAATGACATGATTTCGTGTTGGGTTATGTTTAATTATCGTAAGAAAAATAATAATTACGCGATTTATGATGAATGGTTCAGCCTTCTGTTGTTAGAAAGCACCTCGGACCCGATGGAATAATGTTATTAATTTTTTTTTTAAGAGACCCGGGGAGGAAAAAATTACACCTCGCTTCAAGGAAGTAGGAATCGAGAGTAGCGAACTCGGACGTGTATCACGTGTACCGGTGAAAATTCAAGGTGTGCAAGAAGTCGAGAATGTCGTATACGGGCGCGCGTCCGGCAAGAAAACGACCCGAGTAGTTTTGCCCCGCGTTCGTGCAAAGACCTGGAAAATCGACGGCGCAAAGTTATTATGGCGTCGTGCACCACGAAAAACTCGATCCTGCTGTATATGGTGTTTGTAAAGTTCGCGGGTACTAAAATTCCGTCACGAAGCGATTTCAAGGTGTCAAGCGGTACTCGTTAAAGCTGCTCCAGCACGAAACGCAGCTCCCCTTTTTTCGAGACGATCGTACGATCAGGGCGTCGACAAAGAAGAGCGCAAACGGTGGTCAATTGCGTCTACGTTATTTTAATTAAATTGATTCCTCGTTAAATTCCCTTATACGAGACGGAAAAAACTCGAGATCTTCCTATGCTAAAAAAATTACCAACGTAGTCGACGTAACAATAGCAGAAGTTTCATCCCTTGTGTCTAGGCAGAGATGGCTATGAATATTTACAAGGCTATTTTGTCGTAGTGCAATCTATTTTCAAAATCGAAATCTTTTAAAAATAGTCTTGTTGTCGACCACAGTATTTACTGCTTCTGAAAATAAATAATCGGCTTTTTTAGGATGATTAGAAAAGTGTAGAAGTTTCAGCAGTATTTGGAGGTCGAACGAATCGAGAATCGATTTTAGAAATTGATTGAGAATCAGGGCGTCCCCGGGCGTTTTTGTCGCGTTCGTTGGCGAATAAGCTTGGAAGACCACGCAACGTCGATCGGTTTTTTTCGCAAACGAGGCGGATTAGGTTTGACCCGACTGGACGATCGGAAATCCCATCGGGCCGCTCGTCGAGCCGCGTCCGCAATAAAATATCCCCGTAATGAGGATTGAACGATTATTATAAATCAAACAGGCCCGGCTACGCGGATCGTTCGCCGCATTTCTCGCGCGCCACGTGTTTTGCCGGTGTTACTCTCTCGTGAACACGTGTCCCGCCTCTCGCTTCATTTCTTTCTTCATCCTGTTCTCTCATCGTCCGGCGGTACGTGCAAAAGTGACGTACGCACCGAACGCTCCCGACACGCTGAATTTTTCTCTTTCGTAGCCGGGGCCGCGGGTAACTTCTTTTGGGCACGCTATGATCCCGATGTTTCAATTACATCGGTTTGGTGAAAGTCGTACTTAACACCGGACGGATGCTTTCACGGACGAAAATAAGTCCCGAAGAATCTGTAGAAATTGACATTTTTTTTTTTCTCGACATGCAGTAGGAAATGGAGCAATTCTAATTGACGAAAGCCTCTAAAAAGCTCGAAGTCTGACAGATGGTTTTATCAGTTTCATCTGTATGAAAATATCATTATTTTTAAAATTGAAGAAATTGTCCTGAGGCTATGGTTTTTAGATTTTATAATAGACTCCCTCTTCGAAAAAAAAAATTTCTTTTGCATCTGAGATAAGTGACAAGTTCAAAATTACAGAAGAAATACATGCTCCAACAGTTGTTAAATCTATGAACATCCACCTAGGGGTTGCGATCCTCTCTTTGGGAAACACTGCCTTAAGGATTTTAGTGTGTAGTAAATAAATACTATAACGGGAATGTAAATAAGTTTTCGTGAATTCTGCAAGACTTGCGAGTATGCAAATTCTATTGACTCTTTGGGACCTGGAAGTAACACACGTGCACATGGTATTTTTAAGATTTGTTCACGAAGGGCTTGCAAACGAGTCTGTATGATATGAGAGTTTTAATGTGATTCTTATTCTCATAATAAAGAAGTTGACGAATATGGAAGAATCTATAGAACATAATGTAGATCATTGAGTAATAACGTCATCTATAATCTTCATCGATTTACAAAGAGACATATTAAAGTAGATACTATCTATAGATAAATTTTAATTCGTGCTACAAATGTATTAACAAGGAAGACAGTCTTTTATATAGAATACAAAATTCTTAATTCTAAATTAGTGACACTTCGGGAATAAATTTCGATGGATAAACTATTTCTTCGAGACACGATTAACGAGCTTTTAAAAACATGATACAACACAGGAAAAAATAGCATAATCATTTTTTTCCAAGTGTCAATGCCAATCAGTTTGTTAATGAAAGTAAAAATCGATTCTGCGGCATTAAAATGCCGATAAAAGACACATTTAACTTTGTGTTTTTATGACATATACAGTTGTAACTATATGAATATTCTTAACCAAGTTTTTCTTATCTATTATTGCTTCCTGTTCGTTTTAATAATTTGAAACTTGACCAATCTCAGTGCGTTAGGTCAATAATAAATATTCATACGAAATCCACCGTACCGCGAACGGCTATAATGTTCCAAAAACTCGGGAACATCGCGCAGTTTAGGTGACATCAATGCCAGCATAAGAGAGCATATCGTTTATTTAATCGTTTATTTTTAAATTGGACTATTAAACATTTCCAAGCGAATATAATTATGTATACACTTGTCAGAAATTTTACTTTTGAACAATTTTTAATAAGAATTTTATATTAGTTTTATGCCATTTTTGTTCTATTTCTTTTAATTATTATTACATACGTGTAATATAATTTTTATTTTTTCCAAAAGGGTGAATTTGTTTTTCAATAGGTAAATTTGATTTGGAAATAAGTAAATACGATCTGCAAAGGGTTAATTCGGTTATTTTGTAGAAAATTGAATACTTCCTAACTTTTGTAAGATCATGTTGCCCCATGTTTCAACGTTTCAATAATTTCGATGGTATAAAAAAAGGAAAAACGCTTACTAGCGTACAAAATAATGGTAATTCGTTGGCTGTATCGATGACGAATGCAACATAATTTTCTAATAGTCCTTAAAATTGCCCCCCTGTGGTTGCCCCGTGTTGGGGAACAC